CCCCGGACCCCCGGGGGGGGGCACCCCGGGGCAGCCCCCCCTGCGGACCTGCCCGAGGCCCAGGTGCTTGCCCACGTTGTCCGACAGGTAGATCATGTCCCCATCGCCGCTCAGCACCATGACGAAGCCATCCAGCGCCTTCAGGTAGCAGGCGGCCACCGGCTCCTCCCCGGCCTCAGCCCACGCCCCTGGGGGGAGGACGGGGGTCAGTGGGGCCCGGACCCCCCAGCAGGGTCCCAGTGCTCCCAGGACAGCCCGGGGCAGTGGCCCCAGCTGCCCCCCGCCAGGGCCAGCCACCCTGTACCCCCAGCACTGGGGGGTCCTAGAGGGGGCCTCACCGTGGGCGAGCAGGCGGCGCAGGCGCAGGAAGCTGAGCGTGAGGCGCATGACCGAGGCCTTGTCCAGGTGGGCGCCGAGGCCGCGGGGCAGGGGCAGGGCGTGCGCCAGCTGCACGAACACCTCGGTCTCGCGGCTGCGCCGGCTCCGCGCCGCATCCCGCGACCGCTCCTTGCGCAGCTCCGTCGTCGACCTGCCGCAGCCGGGGGGGTCAGGGGCGCGGACGCCTCGGTTCTGCCCCCGCCTCCGCCTGGTCCCGGCCCTGATCGCCTCGGCCCGGATGCCTCGGTCCCACGGCCATAGTGGCCTGGACGCCTGGGTCCCAGCCTTGGCTCGGGGAGGGGCGTGGGGTCTGAGGGGTTAACTCAGGAGGGGCTGGGGGCCTGGATGGAAGTGTGCGCGCGCACACACGCGCGTGCACACACACACGCGCACACACACAGTGGGAGGGTAGCATGTCCCACACCCACCACAGACCACCCCACTCCACGTGGAGCCCACGAGCAGACACCACTATGTGCACATGCACACAGACACCTATGCAGAGGTACACACATGTGCAGACACATCTCTGGAGGCGTGCAGGCGCACACAGGCAGAGATGCACACACAGAGACACACACGCTTTGGCAGACGCCCGCAAAAGCATGCATGCACACACGGTGACACGCCCTCCCGCGCATGTACACATATGCAGGTGTGCACACACACTTGCACACTCAGACTCATGCACCAGCTCGCATAGGCATGCAGGCACACATGCACACATGCCCACAGGCCCGATCTCCTGGGTCCCATTCCCCCCCAGCCCCCCAAATTCCCGAGG